GCTTGCTGGGAATGGTGGGCGCCGGTGTGGCGATGTCGTTGACCTCCAGCGTCGAGTCCTTCTTGCTGAGCACGTAGATGACGGTCTTCTCCTCCTTGGGCGCGTACTCGGCCGACAGCTTGACATTGGCGCTGCTCGACGATGGCGCCTTAATGAAGATGACGCGATAGTTCTTCTGCGGACGGCCAATCACCAGGTGCTTGACACGCTCCAGATTCTCGTGCTCCTCGGGCGCGGCGATCGTGATGAACTGTTTGTGCACAATGGGCGCCTCGAAGGCCACCTGTTGGTCCACCTGCTGCTGCTGCTGATAGCTGGGCGCCTGATACCCAGCCAATCCTCCAAATCCAATGCTGGGCGTTAGACCGAAGCCCGCAAAGTTGCTTGTGGCACTATTGCCAAAGCCGCCGCTGACAAGGCCCGGTGAGGAGTGTCCACCACTGCTAATGCCGCTGCCCTGGCTGTAAGTGTTGCGGCCAAAGCCCGAACCGGAACCGGAACCGGAACCAGAGCCAGAGCCGTAAGCGGTACTGGAGCCGGAACTGGCGCTGTTCAGCAACGAGCCAACGCCGGCGCCATGGAATGCCCCCAGTGGTCCATAGGTGGACACGCTCTGAGTGGTGCTCGGCGCGCTCAGAAAACTGGAGCCGTGTCCCCCACCACCCGTCGTGGTCAGAGTTCCAGAGACGCCGCTGCCATAGTTGTAGCCCTGAGGCTTGGCTTGAGCCAGGGCGCAGAGCGTGCACAGTGTCTGCATAGCGAGAGTGTGAGAGTGAGAGAGATGGAGTTAGTTTCAGTGTGAGTGTGAGAGAGACGGGTAGGTGGGTGTGTAATCCTTGTGTGTTATCCATTAAGCCTTACCACAAATAGCCGCATGCTGGATACAGACTTGGTTAGGCTTCAGAAGCTTCAGTTGGTTAACTGATGCCGCTCCTCGCCGCCGTTTGGGCTTTTATAGTCGCACATTTGGGCCCCGAAGCGATTCCCTAATCAATATACTCAATATTCAATATGAATTCATATTTCTTCTGCTGTTTCTATTGCTATTGTTGTTGCTTCTTGTTTCGTCTTCTATATGATGGTAGCTAATTAATTGCTCAATTATTTGGCTATGCGAACATACCTCTGACATTTGAGTTGACGCTCTCTTGCTCGCTCTCTAGCGCGCAGCGGTTCTCCACTTGCTTCCTTTAATGTGACCTGTTGTCTGATAGCTGTCGTTGTTGTTGTTGTTGTTGCTGCTAATCTTGGCGGCCATAAATCAATGCTTCAAGTGATCAGTTTGCAACTCTTCAGCGACCATTGACAACGCATCACCATAAGCTTAAGCAAACACATTGATAAATAATCGAAAAAAAAAGAATCAATTGTTAATTTCCGTTGCATTTTTGTCTTTGCAGCCAACTGCGAATTCCTTGAGATCACGAAATGATCGATTGGCGAATTAATTTATGCGTCGAGCTCGAGCTCATCTGATGACGTCTGTTCACAGCTAATGACTGAGAGCGCATCAATTTTATCATTATATTCTCATGTGGGGGTTAAATTAATTAAGCCAAGCCAACGGCTCCAGATCAATGTCTGATTATTTTCAATCAAATTCGATTCCATTTAGTACAGTTTAGTCTAACGTGAAAATGGATAGAGCAAAAAGCATACTCGTTCCAATTTAAATGGAATCAAATGAGCTTACTGGAGAATCGATTCAATATGTTGAGGAACTATTTAATTGAAAATTATTTTCCTTTGTAATATATGTATATGAGCAAGTCTATATGTATTTTAGCTCCTTAAAGTCCCATTTCCTTTGCAAAAGTTCTATGCCTAGTCTTATAGGGTATTTGATAATCGTGTACGCTCTCGGCTGGGCGTCTCTTGATTCTCTTCTGATAATGTTATTAATGAACGCAATTTGTCTGCTGTCCATGTTCGAAATGTTCAATACAACAAGTTCTCTGGCTGCTATACAACTTTTTTTTATCTAAACAAATTCTTTGGGATTTTTCTTAGAGACTATGGAGAGACCAAGCTTCCGCAATGGAATACTTGTTTGACGTACTAAGTATTTAATTATGTGTAAGCCCCGAGAGTTCGAAATTCGTAGAAATTCATTGGCCAAAGCATAATTACGTAGATTCTAGACTGCCTGAATGAATCTTGGTGTTTGTTAATTAAAATGTTTATGCATATATTGAATGATGTGCCTTAATGTGTGCGAATTCAAAATGAGAAGTCTAAAAATAAAGATGCCCCTCTTTAGAGTATTCAATTGAATGTGATACCGGAATATGTCTAGACAAGGATTTGAAGCAATGCTGAGAACAGATATTCATTATGATAAATCATATAATTTGAGCATATATTAAAGATATATTTAAAAAGCAGAGACGTGCTCATGGTTATAGTAGTGTAGGCGAGGCATTATTATGCAGGAAATCTACACACCTTTATATACAATGTCTCTGCTATTGGTCTTTCGATTTAAAAATATTTATATTTTTCGATAACAAAGTTATCGACGGAAACTTAACATGATAAAATTGAACTGCTTACAGCATACTCTATGTTTACAATTTTATTTTGTGAAGAATATACTGTTTTTTGTCTTTATATAATTTTACATAGTGGACCCTCTGATAATGAGCACATTTTTTGGGAAAATAAGATCCATTTAACGGCCAACAAAAAACATTTATTGTATGCCGAATTTCCGTGTGTGTCGAACAACGAAATAAGGAAACTATGATTGTTTTGTCCATCGACCGTTTTAGCATTTTTTGGAATGAATTGTGTTCGTTAACCGAGGGTCCACTGTAGTTGAGTTCAAGCACATAAAGTTGTGTTCATCAAAGTTCATAGTAGTACACCGAAATGAAATAAAACGAAGCGGTATGTAACTGTAATAAAATGCAAAAAGCAGAATTCCGAATAATTTCAGAATTAAAATATGATTATTCTAATATTCGTTCGCCCCTATATTGTTGAAATAATATGTTTGCTTCATAGTAAAAATATTTCCAGAAATATAGAAAATTGAGTTGGCTCAACTGAGTGTAAATGGTGCAGCTGAGCAAATGCTAGATATTTCTGGCCCGATCGACCCGGTTCAATGTGTTTCAATGTGAATATGCCACACTGGTCAGGCTTGTCTGGGCTGTTGGCAAATAGGCCGGTCTATAGCTATGTTTGTTAACTGAAGCATTTCCATTTTCATTTGATAAGACTCGTGGCTAGTGGCTAGTGGCTCTTAGCTGCTGGCGGTATGCAACGAAGAGATGGCTCGATTATGTCGTGTCATTTGTATACTTGAGCTGCGACTAAAAGCAGAAATTCCAAACGTCGTCGTCGTCGTTGTCATCTTATTTTGTTGTTGTATATATTTATTTATATATTTATTATTGAAAAATTTCATTATAATTGGCATAATTTGAATGCGCTTTGGGGCGAGCTTTGTCGGTTTGTCGGCTCGCGCGGCCGATCTGGCAGTTACTTAAGACCACATTTTATATGGCTAAAATGTTATGATTTATGCGCGGTAGCCACCTTGAAATAAGCCGATTGAATTCAGCAGCCGCAGCACAAAAAAAAAAAAAAAGTTATTAGTCAGACGGTAGTATTTTGAGATGCTCGAATCTATATCAATTAAGTCCATTGTACAGCATTTGTCACTGCAGTGTGTGTATGTGTGTGTGTGTGTGGGTGTGTGCGTGGCCCAGTCCAAAACGAATGACTTAGAACACAAACTTTTTACGTCAAACCAATTAACGCATTGGCCTTGGAATATGGATTGCATAACTTTTCCTCTATTGTTTCTTCTTTTGTATATATGTATATACTTTAATGTTGTTTTTTCTCTTTTTTTGAGTTTGTTTTAAGTTTCTTATGCATATTTGAAGATTAATAGCTGCCGTCTTGTGCGGTTCGGTTCGGCTGCCAATCACAAAAAGGTCGTCTAGTTGATGTCCAGATATGGCCGCCGCTTCCACAATCCCATTAATTAAATGCAAATGCAAATAAATCTACACGAGCTGCTTTGCGAATCGGCCAACAAAATAAAAAAGATGCATTGATGTCTCTTTATTTCTATCTCTTCTTCTTCTTTTTTCTTAATTTAACTATTTGCAAAATTTATGTAAATCGAACTGAAATTCGTGGCTTGCCGATCCTCGACGAACCACGAATGCCCTCTATCAGCATCTTCATGATAATTAATGTAGTTAGGAGCAGAGGCAGAGGCAGCAGAGAGGAATGAACTAAGAAAATATATATATAGTCATATGCCTGGCACCAGGCAACACACACACACACACATGCAGACATCTTACTCTCCCTTTAAATAAATAGAAATGTGTGCATATTTGATAGTACATTTAGTTTTTATATTTTTAATATGATATTTTTGCAATACTCAAAATTAAATTCTCAACGATTTATTTGGCTTAAAATACAAATTAGTTTTTTGTTCAGGAATATTTGTGCATTTCTTGTTCTTCCCATTGTCCATATGCTTCGCATTGCCTCAAGCCGCCTCGTTTGGCACAGGGTCATAGCACTTTGGCAAAAAGGAAAAAACAGACAAGAAAAAACACTTTTTTTTATATATAAAATTGAAAATAAAATCAGACAAAAAAAATACACACATAAACTATAAAAGTTTGCAAAAAGTATGCGAAATCTACACTAATAAAACACTTTGCGGCTGTTGAGGCGAACGTTTTAATTTACGCGTTCGCGATTTTTTTTATGACTACTTGTGGTTGTTGTTGTTGCTGTTGTTGTTATTGGATTAGTGGGGTTTTTATTTGTATCGGCATTGTCTATATTTTTAACGCTTATCACTTTTATGCAAATGCTGCTACCCGGCAATGTTAATAAGACACTTGGTGGTGCGCATGGGACGATCGTTAAATTGACACCACCCAATCGCCTGCAGCACCACAGCCACATTCACTCGAACACACACATGCACACTCACACAGATATGCACACGCTTATGCGCTTTAATGAAAACTCTTTGCTGGTCGCTGATAGTCGTAGCCCAGCTGAGCCCCTTTGGCCGCCTCTGCCGGGGCCTTTGGGGGCTCCAGGGCGCCGATCACAGACTGCACGGGCGCCACGTAGGGCGCCGCATGCTCCGAGTTGCCGCCCAGCACGTCGTACTGCGTCTGGATCTCACGCTGGGCAGCGGCCGCCTCCTCGTTGGTCTTGTATCTGATGAAGAAGACGTCGGGCTTGGACAGCGACTGCTGCTGCGGCTTCGGCGGCTCTATATCTTGGGCCTCCAGCTCCGGCTGCTTGCGGCTCAGCACATAGATGACCGTGCGCTCCTCCTGGGGCGCCAGCTCGGCCGTGTACTTGAGCGCCTCGTTCTGTGTATTGGGCGCGCGGATGAAGATGACGCGATAGTTGCGCGTGGCACGTCCGATCAGCAGGTGCTTGGTGCGTGGCTGCAGCTCCTCCGGGTCCTCAGCGGCCACGATGCTGTAGAACTGCTTGGTAATCAGCGGCGCTGACGTTGTGGGACTCTCCCCAGCCGCCGGTGGCAAATAGGAGCGCGTCGGCAGCGCCTGGCAGTGGCCAAAGAGCTCCAGCGAAACGAGAAAGATGACAAAGCCCAACATGATGCTAGTGGATGATGCCCCGAAATGTGTGTGGCAGTGGGTGGCCGCATGCCGTATATATATTGGGCAGAATCTTGGAGTGTTTTTTGCACACAATTCGGGGCCCAATTAGCCAAAGACTTTGGCAACGAACTTGTTGCAAATTAGTGAAAACAAAGGAGCCGTTAAAAGCGAAATTGTTACAACATTTGACTGCCAAGATCTCGAGATTATTTTCGTAATATTTGCACATTTGTGTTTGAGTTGCGATTGGCATAGAATACATATATTTCCGCTGCATTTTGTAATACACATATACACATGTTTGTATTTCATAAATATACATACATATACATATATCATAAATTTCAGAGATCATAGTTTTGGCTCATTTATCTTTTATCGCTGCGCGCATAAACATCTTGTTTGGCCATTGTCCACAGTTTATGCGGCATCACTCAACGCCCCCACATTGCTTCTTCTTCTTCTTCTTCTTCAGCTTCTCCATTTTTTGACTAATGGGCAGCTGGTGTGATCTAATCTGCGCTTCACAGCCTTTGCATTTGTTCAACATTTCAAAGTTTTTCTTATTGTTTTTGTTGTTACTTTTTGTATATTTTGTGCGTTTCGCAGCCTCGCAGCTGATTAGTAGATTAATTCATTTTGGTTTCGGTCGCGTTGTTGTCAACAAGTCGAGACAATTAAAATATCAACAGCGATATGTTTCTCTTATTTGTTATATTTGTGTGAGAATACGACGAGCTGGCTGGCTTGACATCAATTTTGATTTCGGCTTCGATTCAGGCCTCGATGCGCATCGATTTGCATAAATTGACGCGTAATTCCCACACTTTCATGTCGCATTTGGCAAAATGGTACAGCTAATTTGATTTATGACTTGATTTATTAAGAAAAATCGCCTCTGCCCAAAGCTGAAGCCGCCAGAAATCAGAAATCACTGATACAGATGTAAATGATCTTGTACGAAGGTTACCCAAGGGCTGCTCGCTTGCCGCCTGCGACCTAATGAAACGATACAGATTTGGGCTCGACATAAATGAGAGTATCTCAAGATTTGAATAGTCAATAATAAAAAGTCATTCAAATTTCAGAAATAAGAAGCAGAAATACATATATATTGCTTAAATATATTACTAGTTACATATTATAAAAGTATTAGAGCACGAGTTATTTAAATGTAAAAATATATAAATCACAATTCTTTTTGTTGGCACTGACAAATCAAGTTTATGCTTAATATGTGAAGTATTGGGTCGATCACTAAGTGATTTCGTTTGATGACAGCAGATGATCTGAATTTTGTTTGCAAACAACTGAATTTAATCGCTTTACCGTTACTTATTTAAATAACTGATATAGTAAGGCATGTTTGTAAAAACTTTGTTAGAGCTTGCGAAATAGTCTTGCTTTGGTGGATGGAAGGTCGAAAGCAGCATATTCGCCAAATTTTTTAGTGTTTTACTATCGAAAGTGTTTTTACACTTAGGTAAGGCAAAAATGTTGTGATGTTTTATGGAGAAGCTCTATTGACCCACACGCCAATGCCAAAATTGGTTTGCAAATCTCCAAAATTCCAGCAATTTCGATCTTCAGACTGGAAGGGGCCTCTTGAGGATGATAAAAGATCCCTAATAAAACAAACAGACTAGTAGATTCCTAATTAGACAAAGGTCAAATGAGCTATAATGGAGCTAGGTAGAGTGCGAGCAGCTTAGGAGGGACAGCTCTCTGAAACCCTGGTGCATTTCTCTGCAGGAAGTCTATCCATAATGGAATGTCGGATCAAGGCAACTATCAGCGGTTGGCAAATAGAGCAGCTGTTCAGTCGAAATTATGAAACTCTACAAAAAGACATCCTTGATGGACTACTAGGTGTTTAAGATCTCAACTCGAGCTTAATATCAATTATTATTATTATAACAATTATTGCTGATTGTCAATCCAGAGTCCTACATTACATTATTGTATGTTAAGACATTGTTTAGTTAAGATTGATGTACAAACTGTGTGTGATGGACTCAACGCTTGTTGAAAACGAAAAAATATGCATATAATAAATCAAAATGTAAATTCGAGAGTTGATTTAACTTCATGTCAACTGCTGACAGCAGCTACTATGCGCCATCTGACCTACATATGGATTGTGATGTCAACATTTATGTAGCCATTGATCTATCTCCATTCATGCCAGACAATAACAAAATATCATTAGTCTGGCTACAATCGCTAATGTTACGATCATCGTTTAATGTGGTTCAGCTGATTTGAGCCAAGATTTGTATTCATGCTGCACTCAATTAGGCCACATTCAGCGGTTAATGGAGCTCTTAATCTATCCATCTGATAGGAGACTAATGTTCCAATGTATTTTCTCTCCCTCACTCACACTCCACTCACTCTCCATCCCTCACTCCCTCTCTCTCTCTCTGTTTCTGGTTGAACTCATGCATATTTATGCATTTGGCCTGCGCCGCAGCATTAAGATCGACGTCATATTTTGTCATGGGGCGTCAGTTTAACGATCGCTCGAAGTAAAAGATGCGCTGTTTGATTCAATTATAATTAACTTTGATGTGCTTATTTTGATTTCTCACTTCATTTAAGCTAATATTGAGGTATTTTGGGCGCCGGGCCGCTTTGTTGGCTGTCGAATTGTTTTTTGGACGTTTGAATTGTTGATTTGCATTTGAGCATTTTGCTTTTTGGCCGCTTCGGACCTTTATTAGCCGCTTGGCATGATTTGAGCAACATTTCAATTTATTTATGGCATTTTTATTAATTTTTTAAATGGCATTTTATAGCGCGGAAACTACGCGACCTTACCCCAAAGAAGTGCCTCTTGAATAAACGTTGCGTACTTCTTTATATATACAATTTATTTATTTATTTTTTAAAACAATAACAAAAACAAAAAACAAAAAAAAATATATGTGGTCGAGGGAAACAATGTGCTTAAAACTAAACAACACATAACAAGCTATTAGAAGGACTGAAGTTTGTGTGCGTGTGTGGGCGGGGATTGGGTTTGGGGATAGGGGCGTGGCGTGGCGTGGTGGTGTGGAGTGCCGGGGGAGCTTACAGCTTGAGGGCACTGGGCAGATACTGGGTAGAGGGATTGGTGCTGGGGCGATTGACCTGGCGATAGTTGTAGCTGCCATCGGGATTGAGGCTGTCGAGGCTGCCGATGACGGAGGTGATCGGAGCGTTGTTGTCCTCCTGGAACTCGTTGGTGCCGCCCAGCTTGTCGTACTGACCCTGGATCTCCTTCTGGGCCTGGTTGGCCTCGTCGTCGGTCTTGTACTTGATGAAGAACACCTCCGGCTTGCTGGGCTGCGTTGGCGCTGGTGTCGCAATATCGTTGGCATCCAGATCGTTGCCCTTCTTGCTCAGCACATAGATGACGGTCTTCTCCTCCTGCGGCGCAAACTCGGCCGAGTACTTCACGTTGGCATTGTCGCTAGCTGGCGCCTTGATGAACACCACGCGATAGTTCTTCTGCGGCCTGCCGAGCACCAGATGCTTCACCTTGTTCTCGTTGCCGCGCTCCTCGGGCGCCGACACCAGATAGAACTTCTTGTTGATGATGGGCGCTGGCGTGGTGCTAGCCGGCGGCAGGTACTTGTCGCCGCCGCGATGTACCTGCTGCAGCTGGCCCACCGGGCTCGGCAGCACCAGTTGGCCGCCGGGGTTCGGCAGGCCCGTCAGGCCAACGCCGCCCGTAAAGAGATCGCTAGTCTGCGGCTGCTCGTAGCCGTACTGAGGACGTGCCTCGGCCAGGGCCAGCAGAGCGGCGACGCAGCCGAGCACTAACTGAGCTGATGTGGAGCGCATTTTCGAATTGAGTTCGATTTGGTGAGTTTCTATGTGTTATCCTTGTGGTAATCCTTGAATGCTTGCTAGCTTGGTTGTTGCTATCGCGTCGCGTTCGTTTGAGCACGTTTTGCTTTGGATTGCTTGAGGGCAATGGTTGCATTTCTGGTCGCTCCACTTGGCTTATATGCGCTGCTTTCCAGATCGGCTATGGCCGCTGGCTGCGCTGTCGGCGCCATCAGTTACCAGCTTGTTGTTGTAATTTATGTAAATCAGCATAATCAGCAACAGCAACAGCAGCAGCATCAGTAAAAGCATCAGCAACAGCAACAGCAACAGCAGCGGGGCAGTCGAGCTGCTTGGCGGTTGCTCGGCTTGGCACATGGCAATAACAATTTGGACATGTCCACAGAGTTCGCTCGCTTTCAAGATAGGCTCAAACAGCGAATGCTGCCAAAAATGTATTCAAATCTCTCAACTGCATGTTGAGTCAGCTACAGGCAGTGGGGCGTGGCTGATTCTGATATGCGCTGTGTAGCCATGGTTCACATTTTGAATAGAGCTCATATATCTCGTATAACAATAGCCACTCGTCTCGTCTCGAAAAAACATATACATATATACACATATGTTTGTACAGATATATGTATGTGTATATATGTAGCATCTAGCATATGTATCTGTTTCTATCTCTATATAATTTTGGCAGCTTAGGCATTGAACTTGACTGCGCGCTGCGCTGGCCTCACAGCTGAGTAGATTATTAATAGACCCATGGATATACAGAAAGTTTAGTTTTTTTTTTTTGCCAGTTTCTGTAGGCTTTGCTGGCCGCCGTTTGCATCTAATTAAACGGCACCTGAACGGCATCAGTCTTTGACTCTAGGCCTCCAAAGCCATCGGCAAAAAATAAAATAAAATGTGTGTAGCGAAACTAGTTTGCTGGGTTTTTCTTTGGCCCAGAGCAATGCTGGCCTGCCCATCACATTGCTGATCGATTAACTTGCAAATGTGAAACACTTAAAAGATGGTTTCATACATCTCAATATGAATGGCGACGGACCATCTGATTGAATACGATCAATATGCGAACCAAATGGGCATCAAATATGTCACAAAGCTGCTACGCAATGTGTCTCGATCGTTGCATAGCTAATATATAGAATGTATCTTACATATTCATATTATATAAACTTGGTAAGTCATAAAAAAGTAGATCAAGCCTTGATATCTCTGAATCCAGTTGATGTTGAGTCTGATTGAAATGCCTTAAGCACGAAAGACTCATCTGAGTAGGGAAAGAATGGAGTCCTTCCGTATCGTATGTGACATAAATACTCTCTCTCGATCCCTCTTCCTCTGTGTAGCTATTTCTATAGTATATATTATACATCTATATAGATTATATACTATAAATATAAATTTTCTTTTCATCTTATGTGTATATCTGTATTTTAAACAGTGGCAGATGAAACACATTAATGTCATGGGGTCAGGTGTGGTGGGGGCGACAAGAATGAACTATTTATTATAAGATTTACTTGATTTTATTGACAATTAAGAATACATAGCGTATGGTTAAGGCCCTCTCCTGGATGTGATCTGCAACTGTTTTTACACTTCTGTGTCTCTATAGAAAAAATATCAACATTCGTTCTTTTTATTTCATATAATTATTTATCTACTGTTACCTAAATATACATCTGCAACTGTTCTATCTACCGGTATATACATCTGTATCTTTGTGCCTAGCAATATATCTCTTCTCCATTTATTTGTACTTGTATCTTTTTCACTATTTGTATCTTCATGCGTATTTATTTCCGTAACTATCTCTATCCCTATCTGTATATTTCTCAGTTTGATTCTTCTGTTTATATATTGTATATTTGTATCTCATTTAGTTTCATCTGTATTTGTATCATTTTATCGACTTTGACCAGTATCATCGATATCTCCTCTTTAGATCTGTTTTCGTATCTTTTCAATTTTCATCTATATGTCTCTCTATATCCAGATCTATTTAGTATTTCCTTCCGTATATGTCTCTAGTTGTATCTGTATCTGTACCTTTTTCCCGATTAGGATCTATAGGCCTATCTGTATCTACGTCATATATTTTTCGTGTTTGTATTCTCCAATACATACGGATATAGTCTATCTTTATCTTTCTATACTATACATTCTATGTATATTATCTATAGTCTTCGCATTTCGTTTGGCTTGACCTCCAGCTAAATATTATGGCAAATTGAATAATCGAAATGCGTTTATAATTGACTATATAAAGCGCTGTTTGTCATGGATTTTCCATAGCTCTGATCGGATGCTGGCCAAATGTCCAATTATGTTATTCTTCAGCTGTTAGTGTTGGCGATTGCCGTAGATGGTGGCCTCCTAAACCAATCAACAGTCAACAGTTAACAATAGGCCGATGAGTCAGTCAGGCGACTGGCGGGTGTTGAAATCCATAGAAGGAAAAGAAGCAGATCAGATGCTGAAGCAGAAGCAGAAGCAGAAGCTGCTGCGACACATTCACCTCTGGCTCTGGCTCTGGGCCGTGGCTGTGTGGAGGTCGCTAGAAGAGCTCATCGTATTGCATAATTTGTCGCAAAGCTGAGCTTGATCAGCTGATGGACTGCTTGGTGATTGATGAGCACTGATTGATGGTCGAGCATAAACTTGAGAGTGCGACAGATATCTAGCGGCTGATCCACTAATTTAGTTATAAACAGCTCGCGCTGCGCTGGTTCAAAAGCGAACAAAGCGATAATTATCAATTAGGCATTCCATATCCATAATTTCATATCTTCTTTTATATGTATATGAGTTTATTTTTTGGATGTCGCCGAAGCCGTAGCCAAACCGAAAGACCCGAAAGACGTCAAAGCCCCTGCGAAATAATTTATGTAACTTTTTATAAATGCTGACAGTAAAAACCGAGGGACAAATGTTCGAGCACAGACTGCGCTGGCCACAGATCTTATCGCTTTATTTAGTAGGTGTGATTATCTTTATGCAAAGATCGCGACGCATTAATATGCAGATGCGCTCAGATAGGGGAGATATAGATGGATGCTGATACCGAATACCAGGTAGCATCTGCCAGCGATGTAATCCATATATTTGATCATAAATTTGTTCGCGCACTGGGTGTGCGTGTGTGTGTCTGTGTGGGTCTTGTCTGCATGCATGTATGTATATACATACATATGTATAGATACATACATCCATAATACTTTCTGGTATTTTAATGCGTTGCATTTGTGAAGCGACCTTGCAGCGCGTTTGCTCTACCACTTTGTTTTTCCTCCTCTTCTTCTTCTTCTTATTATTATTTATTTATTTATATTTTGTTTTTTATATAAAGACGCTAATTTATTTGGCATCGGCTTGTGGTTGGTGGTCGCTCCATCTCCAGCAGGGGCTAGGGGGCCCGTGGGTTTTCTATAGTTTTCGATGCAGTTTCGATAATTATGAAGAGCTTGCCAAATAGTTGAGACCGGCTCGATCAGGCGAGGCAGGCCGTCAGGTGTGTTGTGGGTCACCTGCTTCTGTAATTTGTTAATTATATTAAGTTTCTAAAAATAATGCTGATGCCCGAATTCAGATTGGGAGTCTCCCGACTGTACGTTCTCCATTTTCATTCAAACCAATTCACTTTAAATCCAACTCCTATAAAAAAAGACTTGCATATTTTTTTGAATGCTTAAAGAAATCCTTAAATTTTATTAAAAAAAAAAATGGAGAAAAAAAAATAGTTTTTCATTTGTTTTGCATCAGTCGCAAAGGTATCTAAAATGAATATCGCAAGAGTTAAGCTAAGAATATTCTAGCCAAATAATCGCCATGGATTATTCAATTAGAATCAGGAGTCGGGCGCGTGTTGAGTCCAGGCAGCGTCCATCGAGGAGCTGCCCGGCGGATTGATTGGGCATGTTTAGTTGGGATGGTCGGGATGCAGATGGCACGTCTAGTACTTGACGGATCTGATGGGCTTGGCGGGCAGATATGAGGTCTGGATGATGCTGCTGCCCACGTTGGATGTGCCGGTTGCCACCTGGTTGCCATTGCCGCCAGCGCTGATGCCGATCTGCAGGTTATCGTTGGAGGGGACGCCGACACCGACACCGTTGATGGGTACGCCACCAGTGCCAACGATGTTGATGCTGCCGCTGCCGTCGTTGATCACGCCGGAGGCGCCGTTGTCGCCCAGGGCATTGATGACGGAGGAGGTGGGCACAATGCCCTCATCGCTGAGGCTGGAGCTGCCGCCCAAGGCATCGTAGTTGGCTGAAGTGCAAGTAGAAGATGGATTGATTAGTGTAACCCGCGATGCCCATGGCCTAGACCGCACTTACCCTGGATGGTCTGCTGGGCATGCGCTGCCTCCGCGGGGGTCTTGTACTTGATGAAGTAGACCTCGGGCTTGTTGGTGACGGGGCGCTGTGTGACCACCTCGGCGCTGACATCGAGCGCGTTCGATTTCTTGGACAGCACGTAGATGGCGGTCTTCTCCTCGACTGGGGCCACGTTGGCAATGATCTTGGCCTTGCTGGTGGTGGATGCGGGCGCATTGATGAAGACAACGCGGTAGTTCTTCTGGGGCTTGCCCACGTTCACATAGCGCACGATCTGCTGCTCATCGTGGTCCTCGGGCGCGGTGTGCAGATAGAAGTGCTTGCTGATGATGGGCGGCTGGAAGTTGGCCAAGTGGCTGATGTACGCCTCCTGCTCCTTGTAGTTGATGACGGGTCCAGGCCGAATGCCAGTCAGACCGATGTGATCGTTGACCACGCCAGTGTAGATGCCATTGCCGTTGGCGCTGCCAGTGCTGATGCCGTTGGTGTAGCCACTGCTGCCGGTATACTGAATGCCGCCCACTTGAGCGGAGGGCACAAAGCCGGAGTTGACCCCACCCAGGTTGTTGTAGTAGGTGTTGCCCGACGCGGTCGGCTGGTACGAGGTGGATGTCGTCACCACAGGGCCGGACACCAGGTTGTCGTTCTGGCCAATTTCGTAGCGGTAGGCCTGACGGCTGAGATCAGGACGCGCTGCTGCCCAGCGACTGCAGCCGAGCACTGCAAGGCAGGCCAAAAACTGCAAGTGGATTGCGGATCGTTGGATCACTTGGGTCTACCTAGGCCTATCCAGTCTATCTGCCATCGACTTACCAGAAATTTGTTCATGCTGTTACACAATGTGGACGCGGTCGGACTTGAATGAAGCTGAGCGCTGGAGGGGCTGCGGTGAATTGATGCCCTGTCTGGAGACAGCGCTCAGTTTATATAGAGAGTGTCGCTGCTGGCCTTTAATTGAAGTTAATTAATTTGCTCGCATTGATTTGCAATAAATTGTTAAAATGAAATATAACTATAACACCACACAAATCCGGCTAGCACGGACCTAGAGAATGAGGCTTTGGGCTTTTATTTCACTCGTTTCGCCTCGCAGGCGCTAATTAATGCTGCAAACACAGCTGACACAATCGCTCCCAAATAGTTGATCCAATGTCGCCATCAGCTGGCTGATGCCACTTGACGCTGTCCACCGATTCAATCGGATCGATCAAGCGGATTCCCACTCTGTCTCTGTCTCTGTCCGAGTCAATGAAATTGATGACTTTGGACTTCTGATAAGAGTTGAATGGAAAAATACTAAATACGACACATTTATGCTAAAGATAATATACATTTTAGATAAAACCACCAAAGTTCTTTGAGTTGTAATAATAGAAGCAAAATTTGGAAATAAAGTAGAATTTGATTATAACGACGCTCAACGGGCCGTCGCTATAGCCGAAAGACACTATAACTATAAGCTTATGTTTCGCCATATAAGTTTATCTGAGATTCAGAAACTACAAAGTTTGAATAGACTTCTACCTGACATAATGAGTTTAGGGAAAAACATAAAACTGAATCTTCATGGTCTTGAGTAAAATTTCGCTTATGATATCTGCTGAGTTGATTATAGACCTTATCAAAGCCAAGAATCAGTGGATTCAGTTGACATCTTGGTGGGCAAGTCAGACGATCCATTGGACTCAGTGATTGAGCTACAGCGATCTATGTTGAATTCTTATTTAATAATAATTAATGGCTATTGCTATGATTCCCTATACTATGTAATTGGAGCTTGGGCACAAGTGCCCCGGAAATCCCATTCATATTCATGTATAGGGGAAAGATCTCCCGCAATCAAAGCAGCCCGTGTCGATTACTAGAAACGTCAATGCTTGAAGCTTTGGGCTCATTGAGGATCTACCATAGCATAGTACTACCCTATGATGATAGACATCTTACGATGATTTTACCTGGGATAGAGCATACAAATGTTGTTATAAAATGCGCTTTCATTTGTTTTTATTAATCTGATATTTGGACTTTTTTTATGACTGCATGATGGTCTGAAATTTCCAAGACGTTGCAGTCAAACATTTTAGCGCTTTTAATTGCTATAAACCCAAATACACACACACACACTTACACATACAGTCAGCTCGTAATGCTCTAATATGTATGAGTGGAAGTTGTCATAAGTTGTGCCAAATTTCATATTTGGTGCTTTTGTCGAATTTCATTAGCGCCGCTCGATGTTGCCATCGTTGGTAGAGACGCAGCAGGAGGGGGGAGGGGGGAGGTGCAATGGGTCATTCCTCCGGATATTGGATTACAGCATGTTAATAAGTGTCTTCCTCTCCCCATTGCTTTCAGGCGGCTGGCAGGCGATTTCGGCAACGAATCGATTGCAGAACTGGGAGTACAAGAATGCGCTGAAATTACTGCAAACGAAGTTCGGGATCTTCCCCTACTATCGGGTCAGTGTGGAGAACAGCTACAATGTGCCCTACGACTACGTCATAACCCTGGACGAGGGCGAGGTGGGACTGCCGGACAAGTTCTTCTACGGCCCGGACGCCGACGAGGAGGTCGTGCGCGGCTATAAGCTGCTCCTGCGCGACTTTGCCATCAATATGGGTAAGCACTAAATTGATTAACGATTCAATTCAAGTCAATTCCTAATGCAACACGCGTCTTCTTCCAGGCATTGTGTCGCGCGAGGCAGATCTGTTTGCCGATGACATCTTCCATTACGAGCGGCGCATCGTGCATCACATCGAGTCCGCCAAGGGCCGTGGCGAGCGGCAGCAGAACAAGCTCATCCGGCTGGCAGAGCTCAAGAGCATCGCGCCATCGGTAAACACTCAGCGAGTCACTGTGTTTCCCCAATTACTATCGAAAACTAGTTTCAAATTAAGCTGGAAGCGTACTAATTGATTTAGGCATAGATCGCACTTTGGCATTTCAGTTGCAGAATGTTCTCTCGACTCGCTGTGGAACGGGTTTATATAACCCGCACAGATTCAAAGCTTTCCCGGATTTATTATATATGTACATATTTGTTTGCCCAGACGTAGTTCTTGTGATTTAATTGTCACATAGAATGATACATCCATCCACACACATGTACATACATATAAGTCCATATTGCTTATTTCGACTTATTTGTTCGATTCGGCCTGAAATAGATTTCTATGTCGTGGCTGAATAAATTTGTTAACAATTCATTATAATCTTATAATTTTATGTCTGTGCTGTCCGTGAGAATCTCGTATCGTTAGTCGATATATTCTTCGTCCACTAACAATCGTAACAACCCTGTGCGAATGGCCCCACTGAGATAAGACTCATCAATAGCCGGAACTACGTTCAGCAACAACGATTTTTGTGTAGCTCTCTCTCTGTCTCCCCCTCTCTCTCTCTCTCTCTCTCTCTGATAGCTTCTCTGTGCAGCCCTCTACTAATACATAGCAATGGAAGATGATCACGACAAAACTGAACCAATATTGGGGAAACTTTAAAAACAAATTCTTTACGTATCACGCCATGAACTAATAGACAGGCAATAGAAATGTTTATAGATTTTAGCTAATTTTGATAATTTATATTTTGAGTCATAAGAGTTAAGCATTCAATATAACTTGCAAGAGTCTTCATTGCGTAGATATATATTAATAGTTATGCATATATATGTATACATATGTAATTTGATCTGCAATGCTTACTTGAACTTATTCCCATAGAAAATGAGAGATCAGTATCTCTGTTTCAATGGTTTTATCAAAGTATACAGGCAGAAGGAGTGGTAAACTCTATAAAATATATAATGCGGATCAGAGAGATATGCTGATTTAATATAGACCTAATGAGCACATACATATATTATTTACACAAGTTTTCCTCTTTACTTTTGATTTTCGTTACTATACGGCACGAATATGTTGATAAAGAAAAAGACATCCTTGTGCTATACTCAAGAGAACTTAAATATTTTCTCCTAATGGTATAGGGGCTTTGTAGTTGGCCAACTCAGCGCGGGCGGAGAGCAACTGTTTTGCAAAGAAACAGAGAAGAGAAGAAAAAAAGAGCACTACGAAATGTATCAGTCTATCGTCTATACACTCCTCCATTGCATTTTAATGCAGCCCTCATCATATTTTCGATAAGTTTTTTTTTTTCTCGTAAGAGGAAATATGTTCGTTAGTCGTCGTTAGACGAGTGGCCGATTGTGGCCCAATTGCTAGAGCAAGGTAGTGGAGTATATAAGAGGTATGCATGAATAGCTAAAGAAAGTGAATGCGAAGCCAAATAAATTGGAGTAAGAAAGTGCGCTCACAAAAGACTCGGACGTACAACATTCAAACCAGGAGTGTAAAAGAGATATTTCGTGTCGAATACATTCAAATGTCAAATGAAATTTTAATTCTTGTTTCATCGTGCGTATGGGAAAAAGAACAGCCCCATTTCGCGTCGATTTTCGCTTTCGACTTCAATCATTTTAGTGACTATCGTATGATCTGAGACGCAACATATTAGCAACACTTCATTTAATTCAATTCATTCAATTTTACGTATGTCTGTATTAGGGATCTGCATGGCCTAACAATGCAGTTTTATATATCTATTCATTACTATCCCAATCTATGTTTATTCACATTAAATCTCTTGTCTTTGTCATTGTCACAGCTGCCCGTTCTGGAGTCGCTGCAGGCCATCTTTCCCAACACGCGAATCAGTGAGGAGACGGAAGTGTTGGTGCGTGATGTGGAAGTGTTTCACGAGCTGTCCACGCTGATCTCCACGTCGGACAAGAAGTATAAATTGAGAAATATTATCAAAAATTGAGAATTGATTTAACTGTTTCTTCCTTCCTTGCAGGCCCATTAATAACTTCATCATCTGGTCGCTGGCGCGTCAAATGTTGCCGCACCTGTCAAAGGAGTACCGCACGCTGGCGGAGCACTTTGATCATGCCATCTATGGACGTACCGCGACTTATCCACGCTGGCTTTTCTGCAGCAAGGTGGTGCGTGATTGGGTGCCCTTTGCCGTGGACGCACTGCAGCAGCAGCCGCCCAAGCAACAGTTTGAGGGCGCCGCGCGCATGCGCAGCAACGAGCCAAACGGCCTCAACAAGACGACTGGCAACGAGAAGTTCCTTCAGCTGATGTTCTACAGCTTGCGTAACCAGCTGCAGGATTCGCTGGCGCAGGCAAGCTGGCTGGAGCCAACAGCGCGACAGTTCATGCACAAGAAGCTGGCCGAGATGCGGCTGCAGTTCGGCATACCCAGCGAGGTGCTCGAGCAGCCGGACTACATCAGCAACTACTACAACGATCTGCTGCTGAGCAACCTCAACTTTGTGGAGCACTTGGAGTCCATTTGGACCTTCCGCCGGTCGCGCATGGAGAACAAGCTGAAGACCTTGGGCATGCTGGATGTGTGAGTGGACAGCTAGCTTCAGTGGATCGAAGCTGATTTAATCGAACGCATTGCTCTTTTTATTTGCTTTTGCAGCATCGTGTCCGAGATGTACACGACGGATCATCCACAGCCCATTGCCTACTCGAACAAGCTGAACATGCTGCTCGTTTCGCGCGTGCTGGTGAACAACAACTACTACGACTATCGCTATCCCGTGTAGGTATTCTGCCGTTGGTTAACTCGTTCGCCAATCAATCTCTCTCTTTCTCTCTTGCATCGCAGGGCCGTCAACTTTGCGCGCATTGGCACGGACATTCTGGAGACACTGATCAACAATTTCCCCACCTTTCTGCTGCAGTTCAATGCCCAGAGCACGGACATAAGCGATGCGGTGCCGGAGATTGAGTATGCCACGCCGGACATCAATTGTCTGTCCGCCGGCCAGCCGCCGCATCTGGTGCATGAGCTGCGCACGTTTTCGCCGGAGGCGCTGAAGAGCTTCCATGTAACACTGAGCGCCGCTCGGACGGCCGCACGAGCGCTGAGCACCTTTGTGACGGCCATCGATGCTGGCACAGCCATACAGGGCGCCGGCATCGACCAGGCGGTCACCTACGAGGCGCTGGGCCTGACCCGGCGACTGCGTGTGCCCGGCCTGCGCTCCTTCAACGAGAACGAACTCTTCACACTCGCATACATGCAGCAGCACTGCAGCACGACGATTGCGGACAAGGACTACGCGCGCATCAAGCCCCATGTGGAGCGGCAGCTGGCCGAGCGCTATCTGTAAGTCCAACTGGCCTCTCGAATTCTCGTTGATCTGCTCACTAACCTCTTGCTCTCTCTTTCCCTCTATGCCTCTCTCTTTCGGTCTGGTGCAGCTTCAACGCCACCTGGCAGCACATACAATTCCTGCCGCGCTCCACGAACTGTGCCGCCTCCGAGGTCAGCTGCTCCAATCTGCTGTGAGGGCACAACTTGCCGCACGTCCCCACGGATACTGTGTGTACAATTCCTTAGCTCAGCAACATATTTATTGTACTTTTTTTTTATATAAACAAGCACACCCACACACATAGGCTTACATATATACATACATACATATATATATATGTATATGTATACTCACAGGCGGACACACAAATCGCACTAAGCATAGTCTGTAATTAAGTTAGTTTATGTGTAATAAGTAGCCATTACTTTTAAAGACACAACATTTGTAACACACACAAGACAAACCACTGTTGACATCACACCCACACATCCACACCCACACACACACACTCACACCCATATACACTAGCTGATTGTGTACTCTTGAAATTGTCGAACTAAACTTACAAAACGATAAAGACGTATATGCATGGCCCCGATCGACGGCATATTCCATAGCTCTAGAGTGTCTAATTTGTAGTACTAGTTACTAGTTAGTTGCTAAGTGCATTGACCGCAACTGTATAAAATGAATTTAATTTCCATACATTTGACAAAGTAATAAAACAATAAAACAGAATGCGAATTTTTCCAGACATCGAACTGCCTTTCTGTGCTGCATACCTTCGGGCGAATTGATTGTGACATCTCAACATACTTATGGGCAGCCTACTAGAACTATCGTAACCCAATATCATCAATGCAAAGTGTGTGTTTAATTCCAATGATGTGTGGTATTATAAATAACAATCATAAAGGCACATCGCTCTTTAAATATATAGATTTGTGAAAGTGCATGTAGCAGGCAAAAGACGGTGTCGTACACCTCATGCAATATGTAAACAGTGTGAGGTAAAAGTATTCACCTGATGTTCGATTACCTTAGTGTTTTTTATAAAATAGATTAGCTTTAATTGTGAAATTAATTCGAATTCATAGACTTTTCTAATGGCGTTATCACATGTATCCCCCCGGTATAGTTGATCCGAGGCATTGGGTCGGTACCATCGATGGCGGCAACTATTCAGCCGTGGAGTGTCGATTCGTCGCTTCCTTTGCTAGTTTTCATTTCAGCATAACCAAGTGGATAACTATTTATCCCTTAAAACCTTTAAGGGTAAACTACTTGCGCATTCCGGCAACATCCGTGGAGCTCAGCTAGACCTGTTTCATATTGGGGAATATCTATGGCACGATCGCCCACTATCGACGCCTACTATCGATAGTTTACCACCCCTCATTTGAATTTCAGAGCTCTTTATTTAGACGTGGTATATATTGACTGTATGCCTGATTTGTGCTTTGATGGCCAAACTCGGAATTGATTTGAATCTCAGTGTCCCATTCGGGCAGTTTCCTCTTGGGGGTGAGCAGACACAACACCCGAAGCAATGGAGGTCACGCTACAGGATGACGGTGTCATTTGCGTAGCTCAGCAAAATTATTCTATTCTCATTCCTTATATTGAACTCAGATGTTTGAATATTTGTAGGTGTATACGAAAATACGGTGTTTGGTAAGGGCCACTTATCCTTAGAGACCGCAACTCCTATTGATGTAACTGTGGATGAGGTTAGGTTCGAGCGAACGCCAGCTGAATATCCAGGGACACTTCAAAGCAGTACATCTCTTCCTTAAAACCGTTGGGGAGGTGGTTTACCCTGCCCACCTGTCGCATTTAGCTTTAAATGATATGCCCAAATATATGTGTATATTCATAAAGAAGAATTAAGCTCTCGACTATCCACAAATATGTCTCAAATGAAAGCGTGGCTCAAATAGAAGTAAGTCAGACTAAGAGATAAATTCCGACTGTACAGAGCTCTATTGATTGATAAATGCTGTGCAAATCCTTTGCATAATACATATATGATAAATTCCGACTGTACAGAGCTCTATTGATTAATAAATGCTGCGTAGATCCTTTGCATAATATATGATAAATTCCGACTGTACAGAGCTCTATTGATTAATAAATGCTGTGTAGATCATTTGCATAATACATATAATTACAATAGTATTGTCTTTTGAGTATGGGATTCGCATCGGCTAAGAATTCGATTCGATTGTAGTATTTAGATCGAATGCATATTTCCTTATAGATAAACTCTGTATAAACGGTTTTCTAATACCACATAGAAGAAAGAGTCTAGTGTTTTCTCCGAATGCATTAAATAGTTAATCAAAAATTTGCGAACATTTAGGTTTTATGTTTTTTGTGCAATTGCTTTATTTTAAATGAGGCACAAATTGAAATGATGATATATATATCTAGAAGTACATAGTCATGTACATTTGGTGCACGTACAATTTGATGGCTGCTCGAGTACGAAGTTATGTTAACGGATCCATCGGCAGCTGAATTAAAGTTAAGCCGGAAGCTGGGACCATCAATTGGTCTGGTTGTTGGTTGTGCGCGTCTCGTTATCCACGAAGTCCTTGATGAAGCCGGCGATGCTGCGGTGCAGCTCGGCGTCAATATTCCGAGTCATTTCATCAACTAGATTGCTACTAATGCTGCGTGTACGAGAGAGAAGTTAATTAATAGTGACAGCGAGAGTGTGAGGGAGAGAGAGAGAGGATGTATTTACTTGGAGTACAATGTCCAGGGAGTCAGGCAATTGGAATTGCCGTAGAAGCTGCTGTTCTGGCATTGATTCTGGAACTGGCGACGCTGCTCTCGTGAGTCGGCCAGGTCATTGTCCAGTTCCTGGATGGTACCCTCATTGCCGGAGGGACGTGGGGTAGCATCAGTGTCTTCGTCAAAGTCGGTGTCGAGTTGTAAGACATATTCCTTGCCCTCCTCCAGAATGTCATCTAAGCTGAAATCTGATTCTTGGCTGCCGACTAGGGTCTCCCCTTCGCTCCTCTGAGGCAACTCGGCCAGTTCAAGGTCCAGGTCCAGCTCCCTGTCGGCGTTCAAGTGCACTGGCCGCGGGCGCTGATGTCGGTGCTGCCGCTTGGAATTCCTGGTGGTATCGTCTTGAGTTTGATGCTTCATTTCCTTGGCCTTCTTCAGCATGCGCTTGGTCACCTGCTGCTCCGCGCGCTTATGATCGTCCATGCGCCGCTGGGCACGCCACTCGCTCACCTGCTGCTTCTGCCGGTCGAGCTCGGCACGCTCGTCCAAAGCCTGGCGCTGGCGCTCGTTCGGCTCGGGCGTCATTTCGGTAATATTGCTACGCTGCAGCTCCGATTCGATAAAGTCCAGCACATGCTTCTCATCCTTGAGCTCCTCCTCGAGTGTCTTGGAAAGGAAGAGCTTGCCGTTGGGCGAGCGCAGTATCTTGACCTCCTTGTAGCGCATGTCGTCCGGCTGCATCTGCTGATGCAGTCGCTGGCGCTCCTTCAGGTAGCGATGTCCCTCCCAGAAGCGCTCGCAGTATGGCGAATTTCCCGGTGTCAAAGCCAGCGGCCTGCGCCAGAGAGGTAGAGAGCAGACAAATGGGAAAGGTTTAACATTCGAATTGACGCTAATAAATCAAACCCGAAGTCGATGTCCCAAAATAATACGCCGCTTGCCATTTCGATGATTAGCACGACGCAAAAGCCGGCTAATTGCATCAGCCTGGCACGCTGCTGACGTCACAGCCCGCAGAGCCCAACGGACTGCTCTATCGGATATCATATGGGCTGTCGACACGCAATTCCTCCCCCCTGAGAGCAACTGCACACATGTCCCACCCAACCCAGATCTCAAGGCCAATGTCAGAAAATAGCAAAGCGTCACCGATACCCTAACTAAAACGGGTCGAAAGACTTTGCTGGATCATCTATGGTTTAGATAGATATCGATATTTAAATATATGTATATATACATACATATATCTAGATCAAACATTATTAGATATAGATATAGATATAGATATAGATATAGATATAGATATATATATAGATAT